TTTCCCTGTCATGTGATTGTTACGTTAGTATCTCGCGCTCTTTTAGTTTTCCCTGTCATGTGATTGTTACGTTAGTATCTTGCGCTCTTTTAGTTTCCCCTGTCATGTCATTGTTACGCTACTATCTTGCGCACTTTAATTCAGTTTTTCTCTGTCAAGCGATTGTTACGTTAGTATCTTTAGTATCTCGTACACTTTCAGTTTTCCTTGTCATGTGATTGCTACGTTAGTATCTTGTGTACTTTTGCTTTCCTTCGTTGTCTGATTGTTACGCTAGTATCTCCCGCATTTTTAGATTTTCTTGCCGTTTGAGCGATTGTCTGTTAGTTTCTCATGTACTTTTAGTTCTCATTTTTTTCCCGATTGCTACGTTAGAGTTTCGCGCACGTTGGGTTTTCTTTGTTATCTTATTGTAATGTAAGTATGTCGTCCACTTTTTGTTTTCTTCATCAGGCGACAGTTACATTTGTTTCTTGCGCCCTTTTAGTTTTCCTTGTTTAATGATTGTCTATTAATTTCTCGTGCTCTTTTAGTTTTCTCTTTTGTCCGATTGTTACGTTAGTATCTGGCGCACTTTCGCTTTTCCTGGCATCTGATATGCGCGCTCATGGAATAATCGTTTGGTAATGTTAGTATTTCGTGCACTTTTAGTCTTCCTTATCAGGCGATTGTTTCGTTAGTTTCTCGTTCTTTTTTTTCCTTGCTATGCCACTCTTTTGTTATTATCTCGCGCATTTTTAGTTTATTTGTTAGGCGATTGTCACATTGTATCTCGAGCCTTTTTAGTTTTCATTGTGAGATGATTGTGACGTTAGCATCTCGCGTAATCTTGGTTTTTCCTGTTAGACAATTGTTACGTTCGTATCTTGCACCCTTTAAGTTTTCCTTTTTAGGCAACTGTTTCTATAGTTTCTTGAACAATTTTAATTTTGTTTTGTTTTCCTATTGTTTTGTTGGTATATCTTAGTTTTTCTTGTGGGCCGATTGTTATGTTTAGTATCTCGCGCACTTTCAGATTTCGTTGATGTCCAATATATTGCCTCTTATGAAAGTATCTCTTTTAAAAATGGTGGGTCTTTGAAGTGACGTAATCATAAAATGTCGTTAGGCATACACCACAGGCTACCTAAACATACTATGAGTCATTTCTTGGTTAAAGTAGTTACAGTCTTAGACAATCCCGATGTAAATTTGTTTTTGTTTGTAGCTTTTACCTCATTGAATCGGAAAGGAAAGTTTGTTCGATTGGTCGCATTCCACTTTCAGCTCATCAACAGTTACCTTTGATGTTGATCGAAACCAAGTTGCTAATATTCTCTGAGGTCCAATCTCCCATATTTTCAGAAAAAAGCTCCACATCAGTTCATTTTTACAAGTATTTTCCTTGTACAATCGAACCTGTATTTGGCGGTCACCCACGGGGAATGGCTGGGTGACCGCTTAATTCAGATTTCATAGAGTAGTGGTGTTATAAAAAAAGAAAAGAAGTGCCTTTTTATAGCGTTATTGACCTCTTAATAAAGGAGGCATTGGGATCTATAAGAAACCGAAAAACCGTGTAAAAAATCTTTCAAAACCGCAAAACCGCAAAAAAAAGATTTCCTCTCTTCGTAAAAAAAACGTGGCACAATCCACAATGGTTTCTTGAGGTCCTTAAGCTTCTTCCATTGCAGGCGCGTGAAGTACGTTGGAGGCTATAGTTCGCAAACTGATTGACCTAAGTGCTCCACATTGCATGTAGCCTGCAGAGCAGGCGTAATTTTGGCGAGCGAGTGCTCATTATTTTCTTAACAGAAATTATAGCCGCAATCTTTAATTACAATGGCAAATTACAATGGGAGGAGAAAGAAATTTCCAAAAAAGGGGTGGTCGACGGTCAATAATAAGGAGAGGGGTAGGGGTGGGGGAGTGAAGATTAAGCTTGCCCGAGGTCATTATCATTTTGCAAAACTCCACTCACCCACGAACGGAGTTCCTGATCGCATTATTGTCACATCACGCCAGAATTACAAGAGCTGCATTGGCTACCAGTGAGATTCAGGATAAAGTTCAAGATATTGCTTATGACATTCAAGGCCATTCATGGCTAACTCTTACCTATATCATGGATTTGGTTTCAGTGAAGAAGAAATCCCCATAATACTTGAGGTTAAATGAGGAGTTGTTCTTAACTCAACCTTCCTTCGAGTCGAAGAAGACGTGACTTCAGGAAACAGAGCCTTTACCGTGGCCGCACCCACGTTATGGAATAAATTACTAATGTTGGAGTATTTAGATGTAGTTTCTAAAGATTATTGAAATATGACATAAATCGATCTAGGATTTCGGAATTTTACTACATATCATATCATTAATGATTTTGTCATAGATATTTTGCTTTTTAAAGCACTTTATATTAGTTTTTAAATGGTAAGTATTAGATTATATTATTTTGAGATAGTAATTTCAATGATGGCGAGATCTGCAGATACAAATTTATGTTTAGTCTTAAATTGCTAGGTTTACTTATTTTATTTCAGTTGTTTTGAGCGCATTAGATCATATCCATATGTATATTGCGCTAAGTATAAGTATTTAATTATTATTAAATAATTATTATAATCGGTGCGGTTAAGCTCCAACTGTCAATCATAAGTCAAATGTGTCATTTGCTTTTGCGGGAAAAATGCGAAAAATGGCAAACTTTTTAAATGATGAAGTTGCTAGTTTCGATTCCGCTTTCG